AACCCCCCCCCCCCTGTTTTTTTTTTAGAAATAAAAAAAATCTTATTGAAATTGAGCTCCTACCAATTTACACTTAAGACTTTACTTTTTATATGAAGACTAAGGCTTTCTGATATTTTTAATGGCACAAATATCCTATATATATATATAACTGTATATAACTATACAGACAGTAAACACACAGTAAACAGATCCTGAAAACTCGACATGACGCCATATGTCTGGGCACCATTATCAGCGACGACGTTGTGTGTGACGAAACCGATCACATATTCACTGTAGTTAACTCTAGACAAATCAACTGGACTAGGTTTCTAGATCGAAGACGTTTCACCTCTCATCCAAGAGGCTTCATCAGTTCTGACTGACTGGTGTTGAGCCGAAGATATTTATCCCCCTCGGTGGTGTTTCAGTCCTTTGAAGGCCAAAAATGTCCCTTAATGACTGAGTCGTTACACCCCAGTATCGGTTGTTGTTGTTACCTGTCTTTGGATCCTCCCCTGTCGACCGAGGCCTATTTTCCTGGGGGGAATGTTACAGTAAATATTAACCAGTGGTTCAGTGAACACATAGGGTGATATGTAGCTATGTAAACATAACTGTGACATATAAGTATGTAAACTTATGTATTCTAAAATAAAATCTTAACTATTACTTTTCTAATATGATAGAATAGTCATACACAAACAAAGTGAACACACAGGTTAAATAAGCAACAATCATGGTGTCAATCTTCTACTAAATAAGTACTTAATTCAATCAAATGTTAGAACTAATCCTAGAGTATAACTTTGTTAATTATTTTACTCAACAACAGACACAAATCATACTGTGTGAAAACCAGCAGACATGATGAGGTGAAATTTACAACACAAGGCAGTAGCTGACATTTAACCAGCCATGCTCCTCCTCCTTTGAGGAAATGTGAACACATATTTCTTGCTTAAGTGCAGCCATCACTCCTCTTGTTTCTCTCATCTCTAGTGCTGCCCGTCACCTCATGAAGACAGCACACATCCATCTCTCTGAGGCTGCAGGAGAATCAACACCGACTTAAACAAGGAGAAGAAAGCTCCTGTTTCTGTGAGTGTCTCATACACTTCTACCTCTTGTTTCAGGTCGACCTGGTCAGACTGTATTTCTGCGGTGTGGCAAAAGAGGAAGCTGCCCTATGTGTCAAAGGAATATTGATATACAGGAAGCTTATTTTGAAGATGTTTAAAAGTTGGCTTAGTTAAGTTAGTTTCTTATGGAGACAGACAGACAGACAGACAGACAGATATACGTTATGTTAGGTAATTTCTTAGTTAGATAGTGATTAGAGATCTGTTATATTAGAAAATGTTAGTGTACCCAGGATGTCTTCCTCAGGCTGTTAAATGCTCAGTTTATTCTGATGAGTTCTGCAAGACTGCAGCTAGGCCAAGGTTAGTTAAAGCAGAGAAAGGCTGCAGTCAGGGACAAATGTTATTATGACGGTAAAAGTAACCATAATATTTTTCTTAATGTGAATTGTTGTGTTACAGTGTTTTTAGATACACACCACTTAACCAACAGACATACACATTCACACGTTGATTTGCTTCATGTTGTGACTACTGCCAGAGCCAGCTGCAAGGCTGGTGAGAGAGAGACGTCTCGGTTGACGTTTCTGTGGAGGAGGGGGCGAGCCAACTAAGTGATGATATTGTATAGCAATTCTTGGTTCGGGGTCTTTTCTGCTTCCGGGCTGCTTGGGCAGCCTGGGGGTTGGAAGATCTCTGGGCTTGTAATGTTAATTTTGCCTGTGATCCTTGAATAAACCAGCACGGTTATATTTTTTTTATATTTCCAAGTGGTCTGAGTCGTCCCTCTGAGTTCCTGGTTTGAAAAAACCAAAAAAAGGCTTTATAATAGAGTGAAGCCTTTAGTTATTAATCCCAATCAGGGAAATTGCATTGTTTCAGCAGCGGTTCACACTCAATATCAAGCACACATACCAATAAATAGAACAGATAACCCACTAAAATATAAAACAAATTAAAATACATTAAAAGTTAAAAACAAAACCCAACACAATCAAGTACATATACATAATCACATGATGAATCAAACATATGCAAATCTATACAAAGCTGACTCTGTATGCGTCCTGTGAATTTGCATACAGTAAGTCCAAAATTTTATTCTCCCGAGTGAAGCAATCCACATATTGGGTAAACTCAGTCAGTATTTTGTCCAAATTAACATGGTTAAAATCCCCATTAATCACCATAAAGGCGTTTGGGTATTGTGACTGCAAACATGATATGGTTGTACAGATAGTGTCAACAGCAACCTCGGCAACAGCTGATGGTGGCACATAGCAGGTGATTACAATA